CTATAGTGGCATTTAGTTGGTTTATTTAATGTTGCTTTATCCTTTTATACTTTAAGTAGTTTTTGGAGCACATACTTTTTCACTTTTACTTGAGTAAAGGAGGTCAAGCTGATACTTTAACTTTTACTAGTGTTTTTAAACTGCAGTATCTACAAATGTGTGTACTTTTGACACCACTGAGTTTAACATTGGGACAGTTGTTTCAGCTCTCTGTTTACTACCAAAACACCTCTGTGATGTTGAATTACAGATGTTAAGTCTTTAATTTCGCCTCTTTGACCAGGTTATATGGATATCTAAGAATTTTGAGGTTAAATCAACAAATAAAACCATTCTGAACCATTTTTGGCCTTGTTGCGGGGCCCTTAATCTTGCTTTTAGAGATTACCAAAGACATCAGGGAATATCTCTTCCAATATTGACTTGCAGTGACGCCTATGGAAGATCACCCAGCAGAACACTGCTACATCATCTGAATATTGATTGGAAAAAATGAGGATTAATCAAACCCGGCCAACTTCTTCTCATGTTTTATGGAAGAGCTCCACCGATGCAGGTTTTTTAAGGAAAATACAGATTATTTTGACATCAATTTGAGGCTACCTTCACACTGCAGGCCTTGACGCTCAATTCCAATTTTTTTGTGCCGTTCACATTGTATGGGATCTGTGTGAACTGCAGTCATACAACACATGAACAGTAGAGGACGCAATGACATCACAGGCCAGCGTGCTCTGTGTTTACGGAAGTAAACATGAATGGTAGTGCTGGAGCGCATCTAGCGATCTTTCCCAACCATAAAAACACAATCTTTTCAAGAGGTTAAACATAAATACTGTTCTCCGCATCATCGTCTGCCATGGTTGTTGTTTTTCTTGCCGCTTCTTCATAACAAGACCCAGAATAGTGTCGGGTATTAATGTCGTTCAAGTCGGACGAACGCGATCTGGCCGTTCAGACACAGGTCACTTGAAAATATCAGATTCGTATCTGATTCAGGACCACAGAGCCAAGTGGCCTGGGTTGCATCCGTGTTGTTTAGACAGTCATGAAAAGATCCGATCCAGGTCGCATATGGGCCAAAAAATTGGATTTTGGTCACTTCAGGCTGCAGTGTGAACGTAGCCTAACTGATCCCTGATATGTGCTGCTATTTCTTTTTTTTTCTCCTGCAGCTGATTCTTTTGGTCAATATTGCTTTGTCCTTACTCCATTTACATAAAAAAACACAATTATAAATGTTAAACGCCTTGATTTCGATTAAATGAAATATCTATTAATGAATTAAAGAAAACATAAACAGTGGCTAGCAAATCGAGGGAGGGGTTACGCATGCAACTTGCATGATCTAAAGCTATAGCAGCTGAATTCAGTAATGTATTGGTGAACACATGGATATATACAGTGGGGCAAAAAAGTATTTAGTCAGCCACCAATAGTGCAAGTTCTCCCACTCAAAAAGATGAGAGA